CCCCCCCCCAACTCAAACACAAACAAACATATATGTAATCTATAACTATGAAAAAAAAAGTAGTAGTAGTCATGGTGAGAACAGTCGGTTTATCGCTGTCTCGGGTATCAATCAGTCTGCTTTTTTCCAGCATCCGTCTATAACATATCTCAAGCAGACATCATGTATGGATTATGAGGAACCGTTGGCAAGACCGTCTTGCCGGCCATGTTGAGTCCCACTTGTCGCATACGTTCAGCCCCTTTTCCCGTCGCCATCTTTCGCTCGGGTTGCTCCTTTCGTGCCTTGCAGTGCTTTTGGAGAAATTTCTCCTTTCGCCTAAGACGTTTACTTTCCAGACCCTTGACAATATCAATGGCCCCTCGTACATGCCCATCGCCCGCATCACTATCTTGATTATTTCCTGCAGCAGCCACCATACGAGAAGCTTTGTATTGACGGCCAAACGCATTGGGAGCACGTGGAAGTGACTTGGTATGCGTAAGTTCAGGTCGAGTTGCCAACTCACCAAACTTGATGGCGGCAGTGGTGGAATGATTCGGGGTACCCATTGGTGAACGAATAGCACGAGGTGGGGGTGGTGATCGTAAAGGTTTTGGGGAATGGCCAAAGAGCTTACGGGGAGGTGGGGATCGATGACGTTGTTTTGGAGGCGGAGGTGAGTGAAGACGTCTTCCTGGTGGAGGGGAATGCATTCTTCTGGGAGATATCATCGGAGACTTGCGGCGAGCCGTACGATGTCTACCCTCATGATCCGATTCTTCAAATTTGCCATGAATCCAAACCTCCTCACTATTGTTACTATTTTGTACCAAGTCCTCATCATCTTCCTCATCTTCCGGGTCCGATGTTGGGAAACTAGGATCAATATCTTGAGGAGTCTGCTTGTGCTTGGCATATTTGCGTGCTTCGATACATGCAATGTATGCATTTTCCATTGGCCTATCCTCATCAAGTGTTCCACAAACAAAATCAGTACTGTCGGGTAACTCGGGAGTTCCAGGACGGATTTTGATCGCACGGCGACGTGATTTCTTTCCTTTCTTAGGTGACATGGCTTCCATATAACTGACAGAGTCAATGGAGGAAGCAGAGGCGGCTCGGTGAGTGCGGTGAGCAGATGCACGGTAAGCTGAGGCTTCTACAGATTGTGGGACTGTCATGTTTCGTCCTGGAGTCCAAAAGGCAAAATCCCCTGCTACATCACTCTCATCATCCGAATCGGCAAATCCAGCTTCATTGTCGGTTTCGTTGCCATCAGATACGCCATCATCCTCTTCATCCTCCTCGTCATCCTCCTCCTGCTCTTCATCGTCATTCTCATCATCTTCTTCATCCTCAGAGTAGTTGGTAATTTGATCGTCATCCTCCTCCATCTCTTCTTCCTCTTCCAACTCCTCCTCCTCGACCTCGTTTCCTAGCTTTCTAATAGCGTTCTCCTTTTTCAAAGTATCGTTGATGGTCATCTTCTTTGCTGAAACCTCGACATCCTGGAGAATCCAATCATCTTCCTGTGGCTCATCACTGGCAAATTCGTGGAATCGGGTTGCATCAGAAGAGCGCAGGGTCTTTTCATCAGCAATGATGTACTTTGGTTTTACTCGGACGGCGAGTGGACTCTGAGAACGACGTCTGCTGATAGATGGAGGTTCTTGGAGGTGGCGAGATGAAGATTTTCTGGTCATCGATGGCGACCGACTGTGTGATTTCTTTGAGGACTCGACTAATTTCTGCTCGACCTTCTTCTCCGTCTCCGGTTTAGCTACCTTCTCCGTTGCCTTGGGTCCAGGGCAGGCGAACTGAATCTTGCAAACGCGTGGTTTTGGTGCTTCCGATGTTGCGCTTGGCACTTGTTGTTGAGGTGGTGCAGGAGAACTTGTTGGCTTGGGGGCTGCACTTTTGGTTCCACCGCATGCAAATGTAATACAACGCTTCTTAGGAGCGGCAGCCACTTGAGCCTTGGGAGAAACACTGATAATTTCAGGTGGATGAGTGGAATCTCGCGTTCCGAATGCACCAGTTTTCTGGCCCAGAGAGTAAGGAGCAAAACTTCCATAAAGCATGCCAGGTGGTGGTGGACTTGGTGTATCTGTGCGAGCTGGGCTAGTAAGACCACCATCGCTGGTCAATTCGGCCGTCGATGCCATGCTGGCGTTGCTAATCATGGATCTTCGGCGAGAAAGATCGCTTGGAATTTGTGTTTCTGGCTGTGGTATTTCAGTCTCAGGAACCTTGGTGAGCGCCTTGGTCAGGAGAGATTCCTTTCTCTCTGACCTTCCGTGTATGGTAGATTTTTGAAAACCAGGCTGTAACTGTTGTTGCTCTAGTGAAGAGCGATTATCTGGTGGTTCATCGACGTCCGCAGGTGGTTCTTCGTCGGTGGCCGCCGTATCGGTGGTTCTGGCGGGAGTCGTCTGGGACCGCCAGGAAAATAAATGTTGTGCACCCATCTCGATGAATGTTCCAGGGCGTATGTGGTAGGTATTATTTGGAATCGGAGATCGCTATTAAGGCTATGGGTGACCAAGAATTCCAAGAGAGATTAATGTTCGTGAATGTAGGAGTTGATGCCGTCGTTGTATGTTGCGCAGAGTCTTGATTCCTCCAAATGCAATATGTACGGTTCTCAAGTGTGATCAACGATGGCAGTATGTGGTAAATGCGAATCCTCTAGGACCTGCGAATCGATGGAATCGAGAAAAGGAAGATGGTGACAGCTGGTGTCGAAACCCGTGAGAGGTTATGTGCGTCCCTAGGGACCGTTTGGCTATAATCTCGATAACATGCTGTTTACTGAAGGGTATCCAAGTGGTACTTCGCAAAAGCAAATAGGACGAGGAGAGTCGGGGTCGATGGTTGTGTTGGATGTAGATTATTGGGGGGG